CAACAAGAAAACGCTCCGGGAGTGCCACGAATTTGCCAGGAGCGGGTTTGCTCTGTTCTGCCTCCTCACTCCCACTATCAAGCCTCAAAGGCTTCGCAGCTTCACTTGCCAGGAGACCGTGGGATAAAGGAAGTGCTGAGCCCCGCGGGGTCTCCGTAAATCACTCACAGCTACAAGCTTGGGCATCATCTTTCTTGTGTGTTTGCTGTTCTTAGTGTTTGATTTATCCCTTCAAAGAGAAAACCGACAATGCCGAGTCTGTGGCCACTCTATAAAGGACAGCCCCCGGCTGAGCCCCACCTCTGTGCAGACTAGCACACGGCATCCCCCCTCCTGAGTGGGGCTGGCCCCACGGTGCCCTCAAGGAGGCACAAACGCGGGACTGGGCCATGGGGAAATTATTTCAGCGGAAGTTAATGCACACTAGCTCATCAAAGGAAGTTGTGTTATTAATCAGTGCTAGGTGTGCACCCCAGAGGAATGGTTTTGAGCCAGGAAACTTGGCGTGAGATCCCCCTGCTCTCTTGAGTCTGTCCTCGCACCGCTGGGTTTCTGGCCACTGTGCTGGGGCATAACCCCTTCTATCTCTAGATGGAAGAATAATGGCATTGCTTCAGAGTTCCTCATCAGAGTGGTTCTCTGTTCCTTGCCATTTCTCCCCCAGCTTCCCTTTTACCCACTTACTCTAAGAGATTGCCACCAGCAGCTTCTGTGGCCCAATTTCTGAGACCAGTTTTTTAAGAAAAAACTGAAAAGCAGAGGTCAAAGGTGCCTGCCCGTAGAAAATTGCTCCTCTTGTTTTTGGTGTGAGCAGAATGACTTTCGTGGCTGTCTGCCTGTATCTCTAGGCTGCTAGGAACAAAGAGTTACTTTTCATAGAAGAGATTGTTACAGAGGAATTTGATGTTAGGGTCTCAAGACTTGGTTTTGCTGGTGAGTGTGATTACTTTGCCTTAAAACCATTTCTGTGACATCCCTGGTACGGATGCAAATCAAGACATCTCATACAAGCTCATGGGCAGGAATCACTTCCCTTTGAAGGTTGACACTTGCCCCGTGTGTGCGGCTCTGCTAAGACTGTGGCAGACGGACAGCCTTGGAGTCTGCATCTGAAACCTACTGAAACTTGTCTCCGGCTCCTGAATTGCTTTGGGGCAGCTGGAACATTTTATTGGGAGCGTACTTCAGAGCTGAATCAAAAAGGAGACAGGGTTGGAGCTCTTCGCTTTCACATTCAGTGATATCCCCAAAAGTCTAAGCCACACTTCCGACCCATTAGATCAGAATCTTGGTGGGGGTGGGTGGGGAATTCCAGTGAATAGCCACATTGAGAAACACAACCTTCAAGAAACCGAAGGGGACGGTGTGTTGAGTTTTTGTGGCCCCCAGTGTTCCTTTTGCATTCTGTCAGCCAGATGGACTGCGGCCGGCTCCCGTCCATGTTCACCTACAGAAGAGAGAGATGCTGATCTGTTTTCTTAGACTCAAAGCAGAAAACTCCTCCTCTGGGCCGATCATAGAGTACGAGGCACAGAGTACAAAAGTAGAAGCTTTCTTTGCTGACACCGTAGTAGAAAGACATCGTCTTAAAAGCATGCAGAGTCTAGCTGATCTGTTGAAAACGGAACTCTGCTTCCGTGTTGTGGAGAATGACTTTTTGGAGCATGAAGACACCTGCACGGTCAAGGAGAAGTCGGCATGGTTCAGCTCATAACCCAGGGCATCCGTGTGTCCCTCTGCTTCTGTTTGTACTCACTAACTCCTGACAACAACATGCAAATCGACGTAGAAGACTTGCCTGAGGCAACAGGGAGAGCCAGAGGGGAAGATGACAGCATCCACCACACGGCCAGCCCTACTCAAAACTTAATCTTTCTCCTTCAGACATTTGTATTTTCCTTCCAAATTGGAAGCTCTCCTTCCCAAAAATCTCTTCTACAGACTAAGATCATGGTGCTTCCCGTCTGCCTTTATTCCCTATCCTACAAAATAAACCTCCCCCTGAACTTCATGCTACTCCCTGTTAGTCCTCAAGCACGGCCTTGCCTGGGAGCGGGGTGTCCTCAGTTCATCTGCCACTAGATTATAGAGACAGAAATATTGGAAAAACACACGTTCGTGGCAATCAGTCACACTTCACACATTCCAGGCCCGTGCTGTCTGTTCTTGAGGCCCCAGAAAGGCCACATTTTGGGGACTGGTTGCCCAGCCCCCGATCATCTCTTGCCTGACCGCGTGCTGTGCTGAGCGTCTCTCCACAGGAGCTAGAAGCGCCTTGAGGATCCCATCATTCACCTCCTTGCACCTCCTCTGGGTCTCACTCATGCCTCAGGAAAGACATTTGTTGATATACCCAGGCAGCACCAAAAGACACCACTGTCTAAGGGAATATTAGAGGGAACTAGGGACATGAAGGTCACCTACCATACGACATCCAACCACAAGACGGGAAGACGAGCACCTTGCCCAGATGCACCCTCTCCAAAAATGAGACTGAGGGGCGCCTGGGAGGCTCAGTCATTAAGCGTCTGCCTTCGACTCAGGTCATGATCCTAGGATCCTGGGATCCAGCCCCACATCAAGCTCCCTGCTCAGTGGGAGGCCTGCTTCTCCCTCCCCACCCCCCCTCTTGTGTTCCCTCTCTTGTCTCTGTCAAATAAATAAATAAAATCTTTAAAAAAAAAATGAGACTGATTGAATCTCTTGCTGCGTAGCTAAGCTCTGACATTCACTGGCTTTGACTGGCAATGCGATCCAGAGGGAAAATCACGGTAGTGACACCAGGGGCTAACCTGAGTGAGGGCTTACAGTGGGTGAGGCTCTGCTTCAAGTGCTTTGTGTGCATTCACAGGCTCAGTCCTCTCCCCGACCCCCACCACCCCCTGCCAGGCCCAATCCACATCCCCTGCAAACACACAGCCAGTCAGTCAAGAGGCTGGGCTTCAGACCCAAGTCTCCGCAAAGCCCAACAAGGTCCCTCTCTGTGCTCTGGCTTTAAAAGCAGACTCTGCTTCCCACAAGCTTCCAGGCTTGTTGGGAGAAAAGGAACTGCTAAATGCAGATCCTGCAGAAGCGAGGCAGACTGTGTGGATGCCAGTCCTGGTGAGGGATGTGTGTGGAAGCATTGTAAGGAGACTGACAGAAAGTCCGCTCAGGTACAGAATGAGGCTTCCGTGGAGATTCAGAAATTACAGGGTTGGTGTCAGGGAGGGCAGGTGTGACCAATAACACGGGGCCACAACGTTCAAAAGACCAAAAATAAAACCAAGGGAAACTTCTCCTAGGACATAAATCTGCCCTAGACAGGTGAGGCGGAGGAAAAGAAAGGGCACATCCATTTTCAGGCCTGCACAGGTGCCTCTGACTCAAAGCCAATAATTGTTCAAGGACAAGGGCAATGATGAATGATCAGGAGATGACCTGTATGCCCAGACAAGATGGGTGGTGCTGAGCACAATAGACAACGATCCCAATGTCACAGAGAAAGGAGATAGGCCCCCATCTCGGGAACGAGGGAGGGGAGCTGCAAACTGACTGGTGCCTATACCCTACTTTCCACCCCTCACTCCCAGATACCAGTAAATGCGGAGGTGCGGGACAGGAGGAAGAGTGGACCCTGAGCTCAAATGTGAAGGCTGAAGCAGAAGAGGTTAGGTTTCTATGTTCTGGGTCCTGGAAGGGACCAGATATACTTCCAAAGGGATGCCTGTCTCCCCTTTGCTCTCTGACCTTGGTATGTACTTAGAGAAAAAGCATAATGCTAGACTCAGTAAAAACTCTCTCCATATGCCAGAGTCTCCTCACCCAGGTAGGACTGAACAAGCCCATACTGGAGACACCCTTGAACTACACACTGGACCTAGGAAGCAGAGGATTTGCAGCTCAGCCTCCCAGATCTGTGTCCATGGGGTTGCACCCAGAGCCATCCATTTAACACAAATAGCAAACAGGAAGTGAAAAGCAATGTAAATCTACACTGAAGTCTTTTGAAAACCCTGAACAGGAAGTCTGTTTGTGCTTCTCAACAAAGTTCCTCAAAATCTCCTCCTCTATCATACCCATGGTGGCTGTGCCCAACATTTCCCGGCACCCCTTCTTTCAACCTTCCCCCAGTATCATGGAATCCAGCCCTGAAATTTCTCATCTTTCCTCCCCTCCTGGTTAATTTTCTCTTTCCTATAACTAACTGCCTTTCCCAATGTCCTCCAAGCTGGTACCTCACCCTGTCCAGTTCCTTACCACTCCCAACTTACTGATACCGATAATTAAGGCCCAGAAACCAAGGATCCAACAGGTTCTCCTCTGGGGTAGAGGGAGAATGCCAGAGATATGAAAGGCATTCGTATGAGCTAGGGGTTTTCTTTTCTTTTTTTCTTTCCACGATTAACCTCCCCCCTTCTTATTTTATGAGTAGAAATTATTTGTTTTAATTCTAGCCCAATCCTTACGGTAACTTAGACTTGAAGCAAAGTGAATTCTGCCTGCTACACAGTAGCTCAGTAATTCCCCAAATCTCAGAATCTTCTGGAGAGCTCGTTAAAAGCACAGAGTCTCGGGCCTCTCTCCAGACCTGCTGAGTCAGAATGTGGGGGATGGACTTGAGAAATTGGTGTTTTTAACAAGCTCACCCAGTAATTCTGGTAACGTCTATGTTTGAGAATCCATTCTTACCTAATAATAAAGGTCTGAATTGGCTTCATTTGTATGTAAGGCTTGTGTCCATAAAACAGATCCGTAAGAGACCACGCAGCTGACCTCTGGGATGTGGGGCGTGGACAGAAGCCACAGAAAATGTGGGGATCCGGGGAGTACAGACACCAGCCGGGTTGGAACCCACCTATTTCATACATTCTGCCCACATCTTTATGGCTTCTTGGAAATTGTTAGTGGCAATCCAATAGATTAGCAGTAAGCAAACTTAACATTTTGTTTATTGCCATAACTCAAAAAATGCTATTGGTTCTAACTAAATGTCTGTTTTTATGTTCTGTCATTTCCAGGCACGAAAGTAACTTGAACAAATCCCAAGGCATAAGGAAATGGGCCTCATTCTCTAGGACGACTCTGCAGCATTGGAAATGAAGCTAAGCAGACTTTATTACATCCTACAATTCTGCAACCTTTTGCGAAGCATTTTATTACACTTGTGGAAGCCATCGGGGTTACGTTTCAATCACGATGACTGACAGGCTAACTTCAAAATAACAGCATCGACAGCCCTTCCACACTTCCTGAGCTATGTACTTAGAATAGCACCTTTTCTAAATTGTCCCTTGGCCTGGATGGAAATAAAACAGTAGTTAAAATATTTATCGTGTGTGTTGGGTAACTTAAAAATTGATATTTGGGGGCCTCTGAAAGGCATAACTGAGGAAGTCAATCTTTTAGAACTACCATGCTTCCTGTAACCAAAGGTTTGTTAAAGCAGAGATAAAATTTAGTTTCCATTTTTGGTAGCAAACAAAACAGAACAAGAAATGCATAGCTTTTCCTCGGCTGTATTCTCCTGCCTTGGGTGCAGAGAGGCAGAGCTGAAAGAGCTTAAGATGGCAAAAATGGGCTTCAAGAAACTAATAAACATGTAATGAGGTGATCAGACACCTCGGACTGGGCCATTTGAGCGGTAGGAATGTAGCGAAAGGGAATGGAGAAGCTCTTGATGTTGGTTGAGGAAGCATGCCCCTTGCCCGCAATAGTAAAAAAAAATTTTTTTTCCGGAAGAGTCAATTTCTGTAAGGAAGGATGACAGAAGTAGGCTCTTTCTCTTATCTGGTATATTAATAAAAGGGGAGAGTTGAGTTTATAGAGAAAAATAAAATATATCAATGGCACTGTGATAAAGAACCACAAAAACCCTCCCTAAGAATCTCTGTTGCCTTATGGGCTACTCCCTGACCTCAACACTACCATCGACGTAAGGCATATTGGTTTCCTGTGAGTGCTGCAACAAATTACTGCAAACTGGGTGGTGCAAAATGAGAGAAATGTGTCCCCTCACAGTTTTGGAGGTCAGAAGTCCAAAGTCCAGGGAGGCCCTGCTCCCTCCAGAGGTTCTGGAGAAATCTCTCCTAGCTGCTTGTGGTTGTCAAGAAAACCTTGGATTTTCTTGACAAAATCCCACTCTCTGCCTCTGTCTTCACCTTCCCGCTCTTCTGTGTGTCTCCTCTGTGTATCTCTTCACTGGATTAAGGGCCCACCCAAATAATCCAGAATGATGTTCTCATGGTCTTAATGTCCTTTACTTAATTACATCTACAAAGACCCTTTTCCAAATTAGAAAACATTTAGAGGTTCCCGGGATTTGACTTGGATATATCTTGTGGGAGGAGGGCACCATCCAACCCACTCCCTAGGACATTTGATGTTTGACAGTTTCTGATCTAGTATAAGCCAATAAACTGAGTATAACAATCACATCTTCTTTCAAATCTTCTTCTATGTCTTTGCCAAAGTCCTATTGATTGACAATAGTTTGGCAAATGCCTTCTTGAGACCCCAAAGCCTCTCATTCCCAAGCCTCGTCTGTGATGCTTCTTTCTTAGCTAAAAGGAAAAAGCACTGCAATATGAGTAGGATGTGTTCATTAGATAAAACACCAGTGAGGGAAGATGGCAAGTACTGGTGATTTCCCCCAGCTCAAGGGTGGCTGATTTGTGGTCCAACGAAGAGCCCTAAAAGTACTGATTTTTCTTATCCCCAGAAGGTCAGACACCAATTCCATCTCCATTTTAATAGCAGATGTCACCAGAAGACCCAGCCGCTATCATTGGGGCTAATTCCATGTTACTCAATGGCTTTCAAAGAAGTGAAGGAGCAGTCTCTGATGAAACAATTGTGTGATACTGCAAACCTACCAGCAGCTGTGGTTTCCATTTTGTCTGTCCAATTGAAATCCTAGAGGAGCCTCATTTCCACCCTTCCTCCCATGCGTTTCCTCAGCTTAACATCTTCCTGTAACTCTGCCATGGTTTGGAGACTGTGGAGGTTGTGGAGGCTGGGGGTACAGAAGGCCAGGCCTGAAGCTCTACTTCCATGCCAGCCCTGTGAACCCAGGCCCGATGGGAAGACTAATAATCCAATAAGTACTGTTTATAGTGCCTTTTAAGAGATGTTTCTAGAACTAACAAAGCCTACTGATACCAATATGGGAAAAATAACTATTTACTCCATTTGCTAAAGTGGGTCTGGTCTGTATAGAGAAAAATCAGAAGAAAAGACCGTATCCCTGGAAGGATTATTTTTCTCTCTCATTTCTTCTTGGACACAATACCCACTAGGCGGTTTCAGTTTTGCCCAAGAGCTGGGCAGTTCCTAATGTTACGATAAACAATGGATAACTATGTGTATACGGGCATCCATTCCATCATGCTTATCAGACAAGAGCACAGCAGCCAGTCTCTGTATTGACAACATTCTGAAGGAAGATGTCCCCTATATATCTGTATGTGCTCACTTTTCAAACTCCAGGCCCACTCCTTATCTTTATTGTTCCATCTATAACCAAATTCCAAATGGCAAAAGAGAAGGACACTCTATGTTTGGCAAAGAACTGGAAAGGAACTTTCCCCATGATTATCTCCACCACAGCTGACCCAAAGTTATACAACAATACTTCTCAAACCCCATCAATTCCTTCAGATGGTATGAAGGAGCTGTGTGTCTCATGAAACAGAAATCTCTCCCATCCATCCCTCTCTGTATCTAAGCTTGAGACTAAGTCTTGGGATGTACCTACTTCTTTCAGTAGCTATAGCTATGGAGTATAACTGCACAACAGGCTGGTCAAAGAAGGAAATGAAATTTTGTTGTGTTTTTATTGTAGATACATTTGCAAATATTATTTTGTTTAATCCATACAAGATCCCTAAGAATAAATATATGGAGATTTAGGCTCAGAAAAGTTAGGGAACTTGATCAAGTTTACAAAGTTGATAATGGATGGATTGGGGATCAACTCCGGTCTTATTCCCAAAAGCCTGTCCCTTTTGGAGAATAATCAATAATGAAGGGCTCTCAGCAAATTTAATAAATATCATTTCCAATTTCTCTCCTGAACTATCAAGTTGGTAGGTTAGTCCTTTGTACTGATGTTCAAAGGGAAAGGGAAAGGGAAAGGGATAGTTAAGGGAAGGCAGGGAATATTTAGGCATTCTCAAGGTGAGAGCATCCCTTTAATCATGTAAATGAAAGTAACTCATGACATTTCTATAACTTAAAAACATACAGGAAGAGTATTACCAAGAATGCTTACTCTGACTGATGCAAATGTGTTAGCCAAAAGGTTAATGATCACTTGTGCTGGATATAGAACAATGTAAAATAATTAACATGTAATTACTTAGTTACAGGGATTGAAAACCCATCAGTCTCACTTGGAATAACCACCACTAAAAACTCTCAAACATGGTCACATATCTGTAGTCCATTTCAGTCCTGCAAACATCTTGACCATCTATACCGTACATCAAATTGAAGGCTATAGTTTTAGCAGCCAAAACTGAGATGGCTCCTGAGGTGTAGCTGGGAAGGGGAGTAACCATGGATTGCAGAGGGAAGAGGAATGGGAAGAGCAGATTTAGTTTCAGCAAGAAGACAGGTCCAATTCTAGGTACCTAGAAGATGGTTTTCTGAATTCCATCATCATCTTCTTCTCCTCCACCGCCTCATCATGGGATACTATTTGCAGGGTATCTCTGTACCAGGCATTATGCCAGGCATTTTCAAAGCACTATTTCATATAAGCCTCAAAAACAACAACAACAAAAACCCTTAACCCAGGGGCGCCTGGGTGGCTCAGTGGGTCAAGCCCCTGCCTTCGGCTCAGGTCGTGATCCCAGGGTCCTGGGATCGAGCCCCGCATTGGGCTCTCTGCTCAGTGGGGAGCCTGCTTCCCTTCATCTCTCTCTGCCTGCTTCTCTGCCTACTTGTGATCTCTGTCTGTCAAATAAATAAATAAAATCTTTAAAAAAAAAAAAAAACCTTAACCCATTTTCCTTCTTTCTTTCCTCCCTTTCTTTTAAACAGGTATTTCTCTAACAACTACTGTATGCCAAGTATTGTATATATTGGGTGCCCCTGCTACAGTGCTGAGCAAAAACATCCAGAAATAACTATTATTCTCTTTCTGTAGATGAGGAACCAGCAGTTCAGAGTTTGTGAGTTGCTTAAGGTCAGCACTAGTAAGAACACGTATATGCGACCTAAAGCCTGGAGCTCTTTCCTCTAAGCCAAGCTGATTCTCAGAATACAGGGTAAGAGGGAACAGCTGATGCACTATGGCTAACTCCTGGCTTTCCCCACAAACAAAGGCAAAAAACAAAAAGCAAAACAAAACCCACACATACCTACATATTCCAGATTAAAATTATCTGGGGAAAAAACAATATACTAAGGTTCAATCTTTGTCAAGGAGCATTTATTAAATACCTTCTGTGTGTCCATTCTGGGGAAGACTTCTAAGAGCAAGTGAAGCTTTCTTGTGCTCTTTATGTCACCCTGAAAATGTCCCACTGTTCTCTCATATTTCTGTAATAAAGCAGCACTTTGGTCACTCTCTGAGCATTCTGTGAGTCAGCCTGGCCAGGGTGCCCACCACTCTATCTTGTGCCATTCCTAAGGAAGAATCTGAACTAATACTTTCAGATTCCCAATGAGCCCCAGGCTGCTGGTCCAATGTCATACTGTAGTAAGCAGTCTTCCCATCTAGGTTGCTCAGCTTTCCTTGCTAAAAAAGTAGGCCCACATAAATAAGTCCATGACTCTGAGAGACAGCCTAAAGCAAGAGTTCTTTATAAATATCACTGGCAGGGCTTGTTAAAACTTATTGTAAGGCCCTACCTCCAGAGTTTCTGATTCTGTAGATCTGGAGTGGGCCCTGACATGTTCCCGGGTGATCCTGACACTGGTGTGTCAGGGTCCACACTTTGAAAACCACTGGCTTGAAGGGATGATTTTTTTTTTTTTTTTTTTTTTACTGTAAATAAACAGAATTTGTTTCCAGTACAGAACCCAGCTTGCTTTCCAGGCCCTGAATTTAACATATCTTAGTCTAGAGGTAATGAACTGCAAGTTAAATCCAATCGGTCCACTCAAGCATCTCCGGTAGGTTTCTGGAGTTATTTAACACCACAGAAGACTTCTTGTCTGGGCTAATTAAGTGATTAGTTTAGATCGATAGAGGAACAGAGGGAAAGTGGGGCAGCTATAGCTCACTACCAACTTAATAAGATGGTGCTAACTTCAGCCACGAGAAGCAACATGGGTTGAAAATTGGACTTAGCTGCTGAAGACATCAATGTTTCTATAGTAGG